TTTTTTTTGTAGTTTTAGTAGAGACGGGGTTTCACCATGTTGACCAGGATGGTCTCGATCTCTTGACCTCGTGATCCACCCGCCTCGGCCTCCCAAAGTGCTGGGATTACAGGCTTGAGCCACCGCGCCCGGCCCAATAATAATAAAAATTTTTTAAATGAGGTGAGAGGATCACTTGAGCCCAAGAAATTGAGGCTGCAGTGAGTCCTGATGGCGACACTATATTCCCGCCTGGGTGACAGAGTGAGGAAACCCTGCAGCAACAGGAAGAAAAAAAAAACAAAAGAACAAGTGAAAGAAGTCAGATGCAAAAGTCAGACATTATATGACAATGTCCAGTATAGGCAAATCTATAGAGACTGAAAGTGAATTACTGATTATCAGAGATTAGGGTGGGATAAAATTCGGAGTGTCTGCTAATTGGTGTACCTTTTCTTTTTTAAAAAATAAATTTAGGCCGGGCACGGTGGCTCACGCCTGTAATCCCAGCACTTTGGGAGGCTGAGGTGGGTGGATCATGAGGTCAAAAGATGGAGACCATCCTGGCCAACATGGTGAAACCTCATCTCTACTAAAAATACAAAAATTAGCTGGGCGTGGTCGCGCACACCTGTAGTCCCAGCTACTCGGGAGGCTGAGGCAGGAGAATTGCTTGAACCTGGGAGGCGGAGGTTGCAGTGAGCCGAGACTGTGCCATTGCACTCCCACCTGGCACTTGGCGATGGAGTGAGACTCTGTCTCAAAAAAATAAATAAATAAAATAAGTAAAAAATTATTTTTAAGAGATGGTGGCGTGGCAGTTCACTATGCTGTTGTTGGTCTTAAAATCCTCAGCTCGAGTGATCTGTCCATCTTGGCATTCTAAAGTGCTGTAATTACAGGCGTGAGCCACTGCAGCAGACCACAAGTTTTCTTTTGTTAGAAAAAAACAAACACTCGGCCAGGCGCGGTGGCTCAGGCCTGTAATCCCAGCACTTTTGGAGGCCGAGGCGGGTGGATCACGAGGTCAAGAGATCGAGACCATCCTGGTCAACATGGTGAAACCCCGTCTCTACTAAAAATACAAAAATTAGCTGGGCATGGTGGCGCGTGCCTGTAATCCCAGCTACTTAGGAGGCTGAGGCAGGAGAATTGCCTGAACCCAGGTGGCGGAGGTTGCGGTGAGCCGAGATCGGGCCATTGCACTCCAGCCTGGGTAACAAGAGCGAAACTGCGTCTCAAAAAAAAAACAAAGACTCTTGGAACCCACATCTCTCTATTGCTACCACTCACCTTCTCAGTTTCTCTTACAGAATGTGATAAAGTATAAGAAAGCTTCTTACATTCCTCTAAAGAGTTATCTGTATTTGTTGCTTGCCTGTTGGTGATTTTTCTCCCCTCATTCTCTCTTGAATATTCTCCAATCAGGCTTTTACATCCAACTTCCACACACTCCTCTTCAGAGTCAGACATGAATGACCTTGACGTTGCAAAAATTAAAATGGCCACCGGGCACTGCGGATCTTGCCTGTAATTTCAGCATTTCAGAAGGCCAAGGTGGGCGGATCATCTGAGGCCAGGAGTTTGAAACCAGCCTGACCAACATGGCCAAACCCCTTCTCTACAAAAAATACAAAAATTAGCCACACCTGGTGGTCCACACTTGTAATCCTAGCTACTCGGGAGGCTGAGGCAGGAGAATCACTTGAACCCTGGTG